CAAATCTTACTGCCTCTATTCCCTCCAAACAGAAAATCAGAAGTGAGAGCCAAAAGGATACAGGTTCTGAATAAAATACACACATGTATACATATATAAGTTTAATCTGCCCAATTCTAAGCAATCAGTTACAGTTCAATTAAAATTTATCCTCAGGCAAATTGAGACTACATAAGTAGTGATGCATGAGAATTCCTTATAGAGAACAGGTAACTTCATCTGACTAAAACACCCGAGTTGTTAAGTCCTCCAACACGGCCCCAGTTGTGATATGAAGGATCAAAAATAGATCAAACACCACAGGATTTCTTGAAAAACATAACTATCTAGGATATTTACTATGGTATAAAGAGATTTTGTCCACATCACTTTAAAATATTTCCAAGGACTAAAAAAAACCCAACAAGGTCACACATGAAATCTTTTACTAAATGAGATTTTTGCAGTACTAACAGCACTTGCATTTCAAAAGCAGTAATATTTTATTTGGGTTATCAGATAACCAGGCATTAAGAACATCCTCATCTGCAGTTTAATTGAGTGAGATCCCTCTGGATCCCCTGTAGGCTGGCATTTCAGCTGCTTAAACTTAACCTGGAATCACCGTTTCCTCCTCTTCCCGGATGCTCTGATGTGAACTCCCTGCGCTCAGGCTGGGCGGCCTGTGGCCAGAAGGCAGCTCCTCGGCACAGCCATCCCCTCAGGGCCCCGCGCAGATCCTGCGCAGGCAGCGGTGAGCACGCGAGGGGGCACCGGCGCCTGCCCGCTGCCTAACCTGGATCTGTACCGTTGATTTTCCCGGTGTACATCTTGCTTAGACACAGGCCCTAGCTCTGGCCCCAGCAGGACATGCTGTCAACGGAAGCGCTACCGATTCCAGCATGAGCTCGCAGCGGAGCAGAGATCTCCACCGGTGGACACAGCCAGAGCGAGCACAGGGAGCACACCAAAACAGACAACCCACTAAACTTCTCTGGAGATCTCCTTCTCTGGAGATCTTCAAAACCTGCTTGGACGCAGTCCTGTGCCACGTGCTCTAGGTGACCCTGCGTGTGCAGGGGGGTTGGACTAGATGATCTCTAGAGGTCCCTTCCAACCCTAAGCATTCTATGATTCTGTGATTCTGCACTTGTGACAAAGTTTGCTCACCTTTTTATCTGCCGCCAGTGACAGGAAGTCTAGATCTCCGTTACAAGCAGTATCATTTTTCGGTACCAGTATGACAGCGGTGTTTCTTTTTCCCCTCTACTGCAGTATGCTTTTCAGGTTTCTCAATCATGCCTTCATCCTCCCTCAAAATATGCTTCATTTCACTTTCATTTTAAATGGAATTAAGCCTGCAATTGCAAAACTCATCAGTGTACTGCTCTAATGGGGTGAGAGCATTAGCTTTCAGTATTTCTGTGACAATGTTCCTTGTCCCAGCGTGCCCATTTATCGCCATCTTATTTATGTTTACTGTGCCCCATGCCTTTGTTTGCCAAGCTCCAACCCAGCACAGCCAGTGTTACCACAACAAACCAAACCTTTCTCATGAGCCTTCAGCATCACAGGCATTAACTGTAGCGTAGCTCGGATTTATTCCTCAAGATTATTTTCTCTCTCATGCTCATTTTCAAAGGCACAGTGTTGTATTCAGAATCCTTTACTAAAAACTAAAGGATGAACATCATATGTCTATGGGCTAAGTACATGGATATACTCAAATGCTTGAACATCCATAGAAGCCACCAAATATGAAAGTGTGTGGCAGGACACAAATGCTGTTTTCCCTGGGACTCAGACCAAAAATAATATGGTCACAGATCAGCTCAGGTCACACACAGCTCAGCTGGTTCCAATCCTGGTCTTCAAAATAAAACAAACAACCAAGTTCAGGAGAGTTTAGATGATCAGCTCTCCTTAGCGCTTAAGCTTACTGTCCCACCTGCCTTCCTAAAACTTGTGCTGAACATTCCCTGTTACTCTGTCCTTTAAGGCAAATAACACCCAGCTCCCCTACATATTTCCTGCCCTACATTCTGCTTGTAGCTTGCTTTCCTTTTTCCTCTTTCCCTTTCATTAAGCCCCCACCAAACCTTTTCAGAACGTTTTGGCATTCAAATCATTGCAATGGTGACTTAATCTTTGTAGAACGTTAGAAAGATGAGGGGAAAAAAAAACCCTTCTGAAGGACAGTTAACTTATTTCTCTGATTTTCTTCTAGATCTTTACGCTAATTCATAAGAGAAAGCACTTGCAGCACAAACGTAAGGCATAACTAATTGTAATTCCATTTAACCTAAGCTAATATTTACTTCTAATATAGGAAAGGAAGGCAGAAATGCCACTGTGAATCTGATACCTGATTGCAGTGGAAAGCATTTTGCTGCAAATTCTTACGTACTGATGGCTTGACTTAATATAAAGCAGATTTTATCCATGCACAGCAGCCTCACTTTTGTTGGGAACAAATCCGGTCATACTGTAATTGAAAGATTCACCTGAATATATTACATTTAGGCTTTTTAGTACATGGGATATCTACACTTCCAATATTTAAAGATGATCTAGAAGCACAACTTTTGGACAACTTTCTTCTAAACATCTTCCCTTCCTGTACCTGAAACACAACTTTTCAAACTTACGTAGGATGACTACATCTTTGATCAAGTTCTAGAGCATTTTTTTTCCTGCTTTGCTTACACATAAGAAAAAAATAATACATTTGACCAGAAGAAATATTCTACAATACACTTATTTTTGCTGCATGAACTGACATCATCAAACAAAGGCAAGCAGCAGTTATCCTGATCCCTTGAAAACAAATATTATCTGGAGGAAAAGCAGGATCGATATGCAAGCCTTGTAAAATAAGAATCTGTGTGTTTCTAACTTTTATATATTATTTATATAATTTAAATGTAAATTACAAAATCCAGGATCTTTAATTGAAAAAAGTTTTAAAAATATTAGAAATATCCGCCACAATGTATAAATAACGTATGTATAAACTAAGTAAATATGAAGCCTGCCTAAATGAAGTAAATCTAGTGATCGTAAAGATATTACTCCATTTTCAAAAACGATTTTCATCTAGCAGACCAGACCTGTATTAACAGCTTAACTTCTATTGCCAAGACGGCTCTAGTAAAAGTATCTAAAGAAACATTCAGACACACAAAGCATGAAGATTCTGAAGATTTTTTTAAACCAATGTTGTATCAGACATTTATATTTTTTTTAGAGCATGTGATCAAATAAAACAGAAAACCAGAATGTATACATTGCTATTTTTTTAAAGTAATGTTATGTACATTTTATTGCCAGTATATGCACAATGGTAAGCATAGAACTATAAATACACAATGTAATTGAACAGTAGAAAACAACAAGAATGTTACACATAACAAAGGAAAGAAAGAGGAAATACTATTTTCCTGATGTAGCTGCTAAAAAGGGCTAGCAACAAGTTATGACAGTCTTGTTTTTAAGTCTTTACATATATTTCTACAACTTTTCCTCCAATAGAATAAATCTCTGCAATGACATTACTTCTTTAACAACCATATCTCAACTTTCTCTATCAGATTCACTTCAAACTAAAGTGAAAACAATCTTTCACGTAACTACAAGCATCTGACTTCATTTTTATTCAGTATTGTTTTTCAGGGTATCTAGCAAGTAAAGTGTGTAAGTAGTTTCTTAGGATATTTGGCTGCATGTTAAAGAAATAGTTTGGAATAGATATTAAGTGATAAACTGAAAAAAAAAAAAAAGAAGAGTTTCTGTAGATAGTTCTTCCACTGGGTGCTGTAGGCAGCAGCTCATTCAAAAACTAGTCACCCTGAAGAGGTAGAGAGAATTTTAGCCTAGCACAGATCATCCTCCTTGGCACCGCTATTTTCTCTCCTATCAGGATACACTTTCTATAACTAGACAACATCATAATCAAAGGAAAAAAAAAGTCAGGAAAAACGAAAAGTTCCACCAATCCTAGAAAGGGTCTTTTTCTTCCCAGTTCTCAGTTTAAAAAAAAAGGAAAAAACAAAGAAAGAAAAGAAAAAGAAAGAAAACACAACATCTAGGGACACATTTACTTGATTTTTGTTCTCTCTTTCCATTATCAACTTCATAAATACAAACAACCATTATTCACAATAAACTAACTCTTTCAAAAATGGAAAAAAACAAACCCTGGAAACATTTCCACACCTTAATCCAGATGGGTCTTGAGGATGCTATTCAAGAAAACCATGCAAGTAGTTTGGTGCAGCTTTCCCAACTCATCCAAAATAGATTTTCTTAAATTAAAAGGTGGCAAGATCCATTGCATTTGTGACTATTCCCCCCCCCATTGAAATTCAATGCAGAAAACCTCGGTGCTTTTAGGAAGGTAACAATTAAGTCGTTTTCTGCACTGTTGTCATAAAATCCCGTGTGAGTTACAATACAAGACTACTGGTTCCAGCGATTAGGTTGAGAGGAAACATTCTAGTGATAAAGGTAAATACATACTGAGCATGCTTGGGCAGAGCACTCCATTCGGAAGCATCCTGCTTGAAGAAGGAAAGGTGACACGGATGGTTCACATCCATCAAGTGACCATTAAGGCTGCTGCGGGCGAGCAGAGTGCCGCGCGGCCGCCAGCTCGGCGGCGCTGCCCGGGAGGGCCGCCTTCCACACGGGGAGGTACGAGCTGGCCCAGTCCTCTACTGTTCACACTAAAGTCTTATTTATGCAACAAACATACAACCAATGAACAATATCACTTTTACAGAACTGGACTGATCCAGCTTTTTTATAGGCATATTTCTCAATCTCCAGAATATCCCAAACAAGCTGTAAATAATATGAATCACCAACACAGTGACTGAGTCTCACTGCAGTTCAGACTAGTCCTGCCTTGTTTCACATCACTTCTTGCTTCTAGCAAAGGACATGATACTCCAACAAAATAGCAATAAAAACAATGTTATCTGCAGCTGAATGAAAGCAACAGAATTTATATTTTAACTTCCGAAGCTTAAAGCATACCTGTTTAATTAACATTAAAAAAAATTAATACAGTAACACTGGCAAAAGTTAATGGGAAGACACAGAGGATTGCGAACAGGAAAACTAATGGATTAGATTATTTTTAAATTTTATTTTGTTTTGATCAACTGATGTTAATACTGTTTTTGTCTTGGATTTGGAATAACTCTATTGCAGCAGTCACATGCAGGCTGAGGACAGCCATTGGTTAAAGAAAAAACAAAAATCAAAAAACAAAAACAAAAAAGGAGTTTCAAAATTGTGTGTAAGAATTTTCCTTGCAGTGAGGAGGGCCTTGCCCTTTCTTTAGGAGACCTGGTTCACTCTTGTCAGCTTCATTAGCTTTGTCCAGAAACATCTGCTGTTGCATCCCCTGGTCCAGAGCCTGTTTGTGCACGTTTAATGTAAAGGTTCAATAATTTCATCTGGAAATTTAAGACAGAAATTCACTTAGTATTCACAAACCATACAGTTGCACTCTGTACTGTAGCCTACAGGAACGACACACTGAAAGGGATCATTAAACCACTCTCTTTTTCCAAAAAGAAAATTGTGTTTATTGTCAATGAAAAGGAAAAAAAAAAAAAAAAACAAAACACCCTCAAACACGACAAAATTTGTCCCAAGGAGAAACTCATCAAACAATTTATCAGAAAGATAAACTGAAGACATTCAAGAAATATACAGCAGCATGTGGACCAGGACAGATAGATTATTCTCCACAATTACAAGCCCATTCTGAATAAACTAGCTTTTAAAAAAATATTTTAAGAAACTGTTGAAGTTTTCAGCCTAATTATCTGAGTGTTTTTTTTTTTTTTTACTGAAACTTCTAATACCGTCTAAAATCACTTTTCACATAGTCACTGCTAGGTAATTTTTTTTAAAAAAAAAAAAAAGATAAAAGTGTCTTAAAATAAGATGTACAAAATTAAGTGTCCTGTTCTATCCTCAAGGACAAATGGATTTGCAATTAAAATAAAGTCTGGGGACACGGGAAGAGCAGTAAGTAAAAGATGTTGAAAACACTATAAACTTCCTGCATTGATCTTTGAAAAGAATGATAAAAGCAAAAGAATAGGCAAGGAGAACATGTAGAACCCTTGTACTTGACATCTGTATATTAAATTGATTGCTGTTCAACCTACAACTGCATGAAAAACAGTATGAGAAAAAAAAAGCAAAAGCCAGGCTTAGTATATCAGCTACTACTGTTTCATATTAAAGTCTGACAGTGAACTCAGGCATGCTTAAAATATTACAAATATTAAATATACATTTAAAGTTTTTGACCTCTGATAGCATGTAACTACAGCAGCAAAAAATATGATAAAACTTAGTATTTCTTTTAATGAACAGACTTGTTTAAGTGTCTGAAGATGTATAGATTTTCAGTTTTGATACTTTTATGCTAAAGTTAAATTACTCCTCTGCAAGTTTCAGCTGCCTTGATATATAACTTTTATGAGATATGCAATCAAAATGCAAATGCATACATGCAGTTATGGAACAAATATTTTTTTTATGCGGTATCTTTTACTTACTTTACTGCCAGTGAGTTGACTGAGATGTGGTTTTAGTTCATCACCAATTACTGCATGAATGGCTACAAGGCAGAAAACACACGCCTTACGAACACTGCTCTCCGAATTATCATAACCCTAGAAAGCAATAAAATTAATAGCTTATCAGTTAATCATTAAAAGCCTCAAAGCTATTTGCTTATCCTTATGATAAATACATTAAAATCTACAGTAAATGAATACTAAGATAACCCAATGAAGCATTCCAACATCCAAAAAAAAAAAAAGGCAAACAAATTCAGGGCATGCGATTAAACTGAATTTTGCTTCTGAATCACTGTGGATGGCTACTTTTCAAATTGAAAATAAACCAGTATGTTCCTGTTCATAAGTTACACTGTGAAAGCAGAGCAGCTATGTTGACACACAGTAGGGGAAAACATAAGAGAAACAGCTCTAGATTATAATGATATTTATATAAACCAGAACTTCAGAGCTTCCATGTTCTGAAAGAAGCGTTTGCTCCATGGGCAATGATTCTTTTCCTAAATTCCACCGTAAGACTTTTGTTTCTACTGCTGCCTTGCAGTTGTTCACTTCTGTATACTGCCCTCCATCAAAAACCTGCCCAGAAAGACCCCTACTTTAAGGGGCAATTAGAGACAAAAATCTGAGGAATTCAGCTGTCAAACCCTGAGAAGTCCTCATCAGTTGTGTGCGGATCAGTGTGCCTCAGCTCTTTATAGGGGACACAGGGGAAAAAACACTTCTTATCTTTCAAATTAATCCCTCCCGGCCTTTCCTCTTTGACATATATTGTGTTTTACCTGTATTAGACCTGGCACAATCTCGGGCAAAAGCTGAGCAAGAGTTTCTTTAGATACTCTCTCTATGACTTTTGTCTGCATTTTGATTGCAGCCAGGTTAATGGGGTAATCTGCGGTCTGGATAATTGGACAAAGAACTTTGATGCACTGATCAGGGCTAATGGAAGTAGCCAGCATGGATGCAGCTTCTTCAGCGCATCTCACCACCTGTTCAAAGAATAAAAACATGGAAAAATGAATTACAAGATGGAATTTCTATGGTCAGTGTTCTCTCAAGTAATGGTATTTGGGAAAATTATGATTCCACTAACAAATCTACAATACTTAAAAGGAGACTCGTTGAAAACCTGCACATGAGGTACAGCTATTGGACATATTGCTTTTCTGTCAACAGACTTTTCAGTATTCTCTGGCTAATAATATGTACTGAGCAATACAGACAGCAGCACTCTCCAAGACCTGCCTGACAAAGAGATTTCCCATCTAATTCAACAGTCAATTTCGCAACAACCTTCAACTATCTGCTGAAATTTCAACAGCTTTCTAATCTCTAATTCCTTGGGCTACTACTCATTATTGGCTTGTTTGTTTTTTGACCATTGACATGTTTTCATGTTCATTTCAAAAACACTAAAAACACTGTCATAAATAGAGTATACAAAAAAGAGGATAGAGACAGGGAATGAATATCCGAAGAGTGAAAGAAGCTACTGGCATGGGAAGAACTTCAGTCATACTTCAAAACCTGCAACTCCACAGTAAGTTTCACAGAGTGCACATCATTGAACTGGGTGCAGGTGGAGAGGATATGCTTATCCAATATTAAACCCATAATATTTGCATAACATCGATACTTACATGAGCCTCAATACCTGTGTGGTTACTGTACTCAATGTTTCTAATATGCAAAAATGCATTAGCATCACACTCAAGTAAGTATTTCAGGGCAAGAAATACTATAATAAAGCTATAATAAAGCTATAATTCAACTACTTCATGTCTTCTGCTTCTGAATTCCCTCACTGTTCTTGGCACACAGCCAGCTCGTCCCGTTTGCATCTCCCTGGGTTCTCTCTCCCAGCAACGTTCAAAGTCATGCTCTCTAACACTGAAGAGTTGGCTAAAACAGAAGGCTGATGTTTCTTTGCAGTGGTGTACCCTTTCTCTCAAGCATGCACACTAATGTTACACCAAAAATTTGCTTTAGAGTCCCAAAATACAACCTATTGGCTTAAGATGTTATACAGGTGGGACAAAATCCCTCCTCCCAGTTGCGCCTTGATGTGCTATAATGATATAAGTGGCTACCACACTATATCCTCTTTGGATGATATATAACATCAATCTAATAGAGTGATGCAAAGCATCTCAGGGCTTGGAGAACTGATTTTTTTTTTCCTTTTACATACCTTTATTATCTAATACTGCTCAAATACTTGATTATATATAAACCACATTACTTCCTTGGTAAGATCTGATCCATTTCTCACTTCCTGGTCATAACAGAGCTGTTCCATTCTGAAATAAATATATTCTGAAATACTCTGAAAAAACATTTACTGACCTCCTTATGAGGATCCTTATGGGCTTCTAATGTCTTCATGATTGTGAGCTCTGCGTAATTTTTAAATCTTGCTGGCTGATTTCTTAGAATTTCCCTTAGAACTTTCAATGCCAAGGCTCTGATTGCATGCTAAAGATCAAATAATAAGTGAGAATATACATCTTTAAATAAACATATTTTATCATTTGACCATTGAAGAAATCTTTGATAATAGAAAAATATTAATTAGACCATGCTCTGTCTGTATACTCAGTATGAACTGTGTGTAACAAAAACACCTAGAGAAAAAAAAAACTTCAGTAGCTGACCCAGCTCTTTCTTTCTGCAAATAATTCAGGTCGTACATTATAAACATGTCACCAAACTAGTGGAGTTGTCTACGCTACTCAAAAATTGCAGAGTCGCATTAAGTTTTGCCCAAGTAAGCTGATAAAAACCTTTAGCATCAACATCACACATTGATGTTTTTCAAAAGATATTGAGAAGTTTTTCAGAGCAGGAAAAAAAAAAGTGGTATTGGTATCATTTTGAACCTCAGCAATTGAAATACGATGGCCTCAAAATATATTTACATTGAACTCAAGGGCACTTTCCAATGATCATTACTGCATTTTAGAAATCCCACCTTTTTTAAATGTTTTCCACATAGCTGGTGGTTTGATAGTATAAGACTGCTTGGGCTATACACAGGTAAATTTCAGATCCCACTGAAAAATATTTCTTGTGATCTATCATATTGGAATCAACAAGAAAGATTCGAGAGAAGTATTGCTCATACCCTTTTCACCACCAGGGCCTTCAGACTTAATATTTTATTATTTCCATTTTCAGTTGCCATAAGTAGGTTTTTGTTTTTCAAGAACAGCTGCAACTTGTGCCCCTTCTATCCAAGCAAATTTCAGAGATGCTGAAAACAAAGCTGATGCTTTGTTAACATTTTAAATTGGATTAATCTGAATTTACCTCTTTGTCTCCAAGTGTTTCAAGCAGCAGAAGTAGTATTGTTTTGAAATGCTCATCCCAAACACCGAAAGACTCTTCTTGAGTTAATTTCATGAGCTCATACAGGGCAGCTTTTCTTTCTTCAACTCTTTCATTATGGTTTGATAATTCTTTCAGTAATTCTGCAACCAGATCAGAATGGTCCATGGGAGGCTCTGTTGGAAAGAAATACACACAAAAAAATGTGCATTAGTGAAAATAAATGAACATCATCCGTATAACTCAAGATACTTTCTCGAATTGCCTTAAAATTTACCTGCTTTTATTTTCCCCAAATTTGTCTGAGAAAATTACTACTTGACTAATATATTTTCAGTGTAGTCAACATTCCTGAATATCTTATAATCACCAAAAAAAAGAAAAAAGAAGTAGATAAAAACTAGATAAACTGATGACTTAAATCTTACTCTTGCAATACCCAAAGGGTGGTAAGTTCTCTGAATCCCTTTAAGTCTGATATATACCTAGATCTAAGAAGGGAGATTTGTGTTTCCTCCAATACAACAGACTTGCTTAGAATTTTTTGAGCTATGTTTCCACAGCAGTATCTAAACTTTTAACACGGAAGTATTAAGTGTCACAAGAATTATCTCTGGAATAAAATAGCAGAAGTAGATGTAGAGGGATGGCTAGAGAGCCGCGTACATGGCTGCCCAGCAGGCCTGCTCAATTCCAGCCTTCAGGTTTCAGTGAAAGAACAAAGGGAGTGCTAACTAGGAGATAAGAAAGTAGACCAAGGTCAGAGGGAATAAAAGAGCTGTTGAACTAAAAGGATGAGCTAAACAAGTAAGGTGGGCTGTAAAGGTCTGAGTTAGATCATTGTCTACCAA